CCATCACATTACAGTATATCCAGTTTATCTGGGGATCTTATTTCTGGGCGAGAACTCATCTACTAATTTGTAATTATTCATTAAACTATTTTTTTTTGTCATTTGAGAATGATGTTATCCCAGTGAGATAAAGAGAGAGGTACTGCATTATTAAGAAGGTTATCAACTTAAAAATGGAAGTCACCATAACATTATTGAAATGAAAGGAAAAATAAAAGTCCTTGCTGTTTTGGATTCTTTCCACCCTACCCTCTTCCTTCACATTTGGTTTCACCTGCTTCAACGCAACAGTATTTTCAAAGCTGAATTCCAGTTTTTCCAGGAGCTTTTACTGGAGGAACTAGATTTTAGTGTCAGGGTTACAGATGAAACATTAAAAAAAAAAAAAAAAAAAAAAAGAGAAAGTAAAAATCACAGAATTGTTGAGGCAGGAACAGACCTCAATCCAGAGGCTCAGCTATAGATTAGTTTCCTTTTCCACTGTTGATATGGCCATATCTAATAGTGCCTTTGTCAATACTCTATCTGTTTCTGCAAGCAAATGTCTAGTTGCATGAAGCAGAAGTACTTCAGCCATTTCAAAAACATCTGAAGCCAAAATTTAAAAGCATCAAGCCAGGAAAAAAATCAGGATCCCCCTATTAAACAACCAAACCCAGAACTATGATGTTCATCTTCAATCCAGAAAACATCCCCTTTCTGCTGCAGACTATTTCCTTGTTAGTCTAGTGCTAAACAAAATGTCCCTACTCATCAACACGAGATACACCCTTGCATTTCACTCAACTATTACATGGCCCCATGTCACACAACAAAACTCTTCCCACTTCTAGGCCAGCCATATTGCATGACCATGTTCATTCAAGGTGAGTGTTGAACTACTGCCCCCTCCCCCCCCTATTTTTTCTATACAACTGCAACTGTATAAATAGAGCAGTGAGGTGTCTCACTGATAAACCACTGAATTTGATTAGTGATCAATAAATCTCTTCCTTCTCAACTCACATGAATATTGTAAAGAAAATATACCAGTAAAAATATTTAATTATTCAATTTGAAACTGCAATTAAGCTATTGATGTATTACAAGAAGATTGACAACAAGGCACTGTATGATCGTGTGATTTTTCCATTCCCTTGATACAGCTGAGCATAGTAGAAACACAAACTGAGGGCTTTTCAGTGTGATAGCAAAGCATCATGGCAACAGCAAAGGTGAATGCTAAAGTGGCCTTGTGCCAGATACACTGCTCCCTCTGGTCACACTTCCTGGACTATCTGGTTTCTCAGTATCTTTTCATATTATTTAAAGCACCTAAATAACCTCAGTTTAGTCCCCAGTGTGAAAATACTAATAAATCTCTGTCATAAAATGTACCTAGTCCCCAGTGTGAAAATACTAATAAATCTCTGTCATAAAATGTACCTAGTCCCCAGTGTGAAAATACTAATAAATCTCTGTCATAAATTGTATCAGAGGTACAGACAATGAATACACAGACAACAGGGTCACTGGGATATTCTAAAGAAATACTAGGCTCAGCAAGTCTGAATGCAAAATCTATATACCCCAGACAGTTTGCTTTACTATGTGGGAAATCAAATGCTGTCAGCACACCTGTGTTTGTTATAGGTGCCCATTCACATCACAGAGAAACCACAGTTTTTTCCCCTTCCTCACTGAAAACACCACTGCCTTCTTTTGGTTGCAAAGCTGCTGTTGACATAAGAATTACCCAGTGCTTGGTAATAGTAAGGGTTTCCTGCAAAAAGATAAACAAGGACTTTAGAGTACTCTGGAAATTCAAGGGTGAATTTCCCCATGTAATCACTCTACATGAAACATCTAAGAGAAAGGTGCAATCCACAATTTGTATTCAGAAGAAACAGAGATACTGGCAGCAATCCCAAATCTGAAGTTTAGTTTAATTCTTATTACAAAAAGTAAACTTCCACTTTAAATCAAAGTTTAGAAAAAGGATAAGAGGTACCTCACCTAGCACAGAGGAGAGAGGTATTGGGAGAGAGAAAAGCTTTGAGTTCATCTTGACAGCTGCATTTGGGCAGTATAAATTCTCCCTGGCTGCCCAGGATACACTCCAGCACAGTCCCCAGCCCTGGTCCTTAACTTTGAACTCTGTCAGCGTGCTGTTTTTGTGATCCTCCAATCTGGGAATCTGTAGAGCATGCCATGACACTTACCTTTAAAAATAAGGAGGATTTGGTATCTAGCCATAATTTAGTGAGTGCCTTTCCACTTTTACAACAGTGGCCCCAACTGCTTGTTTTTTTCAGTGCCAGAAGAGGACCAGCTAGCAGTCCTCTCCATTTACTTACAGCAACTATTACAGTTACTCTATTCCATTCCTGTCTAATGCTGTCCAATTACAATAATATTTGACAGGTTCCAAAAGCTTATCAAGCAAGACAACTAACTGCACTTACACTTCTCTCCTGTTTTTCCTTTCACTGCCAATACCAGCTTGCAGTCACCTGAATGTAAAAAGCTTTAGAAAATGCTCTCCTCAGCTAATCAAATCCCTTCATGCTTGCATCTGCAATACATGTGGATAACAAAAAACCATTAAAATAAATATTCAAAACATTTGTTTTGGATAATACGTGAAGTGTGAATTTATGGTATACACATATTGGGAACAACCGGAGATCTTCTGGATAGGATTTAAAAAAAAAAAAAAAAAAAAAAAAACAAACACAAGCACATTTAAGTGATTTAGGAGCTTACATGTCAGCAACTTACAGTGAAGTCTGTACTCCTGCACCTCTATTTTCACATTTATTTTCCATGACTAAAAGCTTTTGTTAATCTTTGATGGTTGCATTCTTAATACGTGCAAGATTGGTGCAACTGTGCAGCAAGTCACAAAGAACCAGGCCAGTATCACCGCTGATCCAATTTCACACAAACCTGCTCATACTCAGGATTGTCTATTATCTGCATTGGATAAAGATGTATTTAATCTCCTCTGGACGGAATAACACAGTCTAAAGTATACTCATATGCTGCCTTGAGGACACATTTTAGCAGATCCAGGGATATAAATGCACTGCTGAGACCAGTTGCTTGAAAAAACCCCAAAGGCTTCAGCCATTCAGTCAGGCCTGAGTTAGCTACAGCATTTTCAAGTGTAATGGCACCTGTAACCTTCAAGTTACAATGTAAAAAGATCCCTTACTTGATTTGACATTTAGGCCAGACTCAGATTTAATGCCTCTGAGTTTTAACTGCCCTGATTAGAGTATGTTTTGGCCCTCTGGTCTCCGGAAATATTTAAATCAAAATAGAAGTTTTGTTTTGTTCTCAGGATGTAAAGATGTAGCCTGATTTTTACCATACATGCATTTCGCTGTGTTTTTAGCCAAAGAAGGATTTTTACGTCAAAATTTTGCTCAGTGGAATGACGATGTTCCCCTTTTTCTTTTGCACTTAAACTGGAACTGAACAGGTCAGGGTTTGTTTGTTTGTTTTAAGTGTGCATAAATAAAATCCTAGGTTTTGGCTTGGGTTTTATGTGGTTTGGTGTTTTGGGGTTGGTTGTTTTTTTTTTTTTAACTTCTCACAAGACAACTTGAAAAGATATTCACTCGTAACTGTAGTAAAATACAGTGCTCACATTTTTCTCAGGGTGGGGGAAATGCATTACAGATGCACATCATGGCTTTCAAAGAAACAGTACCTGTGCAGATTCTCAACCTGTAACACTCAAGAAAGTAAAAAAGTGACTTGCAAAAAATTACTGCATACCAAGAGAGACCTGCTGGTTCAGGAGTGCTACTTCTTAAGTCTTTCCCTTTCACACTCTAGAGACGGAAGAGGCAGGAAAGAGGCATGCTGGGTTAGGAATGCAGATCCAGGTGTCACCAGTTAAGCCTGTACCTGGGCAGAAGTCTGCTCCCATAAAACAGGTAACAGTTCACACAAATACTCCTCCCTTTTTTTCTGCTGCTAGGCTCACCCTTCTGCCTGTTCTGACACTGAGTGCACACTGCAGCCAGGTAGTCATCTTCAGTGGCAAAGAGTACAGCTAGTACAGAGCAGTTTCAGAGTTGATAACATGTATTCATTAGAACAAGGATGTCACATGTAAGAAAGAAATAAAATACCTAATCTACACACTTAGAAGTAAAGGACAGTCAAGTAGTAGATCCAAATTTATCAATTAGTAGTAGGTATAGTGAACATGCAAAATGGACCACCAGGTTTGTTCCAAAATAGTTTCAACCAATGATTTTGCTATAGCACAACAAACCCTGTAGTACAAAGTTTACACCCAAACATCTGAGAACTATCCGCCACCATACTGCTTCACGCAAATAATACAGGTATTGGAAGTCACTTTTTAATAGCAATACTGGCAAGTCATAAAACCAGCCCAATGACAGGGCAAGGATATTTGACAGCACCTCCCCTCCAAAACAGTACCTCCTGGCAGCTGAACTTCCTAACACACACAGGAGAATGCTAAAGCATTTCTAGAAATGGAAGTTTTCACTGAGTATACAAAACAATAATTTTGCTTATGCATTGGTCCAGGGACATTTTGGTGCCTAAACAAATCATGCCTCATCATTAGGATTTTACAAAGACAACATGTAGCTAACAAACTAGAAAGCACCTACACAATTCAAAATTACAAACCTGCAAAGCCCACCTCATGAGCAGTAAAGCTCAATATCAAACACAAACTTCCAAATCTACAAGCCATTTATCTGTGAACTCCTATGGAGTGAACTGATTGTCCTGTTTTAGTTTGCTAAAACTGGGACCACCAGTGCACTTAATATAAACTATCTCCTATTTAACCTAGGGAAACACAAACCAAGGAGAAATGAAAACAACTGACATCTGCCAGCAGGAATGAGGGAACCAAATACTGTCCTAAGGTGAAGATTTCCAAGGCAGAAGCTAATTTGTTTGCTCACCCCAGCATTCAGTCATGCAGCCTCTATTGCAAACACTGACTTGTGTGAAACACTAACCTTCATCACTTCAACCTGCAGGTCTTCATTAAGCGAAGGAGTCACTTTGACAGCATTCAGCATCTGATTTAGCAACTGTTTCTCATCTGAGTCTGTTTCCACGGATACAAACCTCTCATCAGACAGCAGCTTCTGCAGAGAGAAAATGGAAAGGTACAGGTTGAAACAAAACTGCCTCTGCCCAATTCTGCTGTAAACTACTACACCTAAACCTATTAGTGTTTGATACGATGGTGGCTAGGTTTTCTATGTACAAATTTCAAACTGATCCAATAATATAAAATACAAAAGTTCAGCAAAACTGGGAGATCTGTGCCATGATGAGGGGACAGTTAACATCTTTTGAATCAGCTGCCATTCTGCTATTATTTTTTCCCCATTCCACTTCTCCAGTATCCAGAAGAAAGCAGACATCAGTAATTGACACGAGAGTTCATAAGCCACTCAAAGTAATGACCTCAGCAAAACCCAACATTTTAGAATCAAGGAAAGTGTGGAACCCTCACACACCTACCATGCCCCAAAAATGACAAAAAAAACCCACTCAGGCTAGTATCTTGGCCTCAGAGTATTGCTACCATTTACAATGCCCAACAGAAGACAGTCAGCTATCATCACACTCACTCTGATAGGGCACAGAACACAAGCACTGTAGAGGTGGCACTTATGACCACTAAAAAGATGTGTTTTGTATCATTCAGAAGTTGACTAATATTGGATGCAATCAAGTCTCCAGAAGGAATAGTACTGTTAGCAAGTGACTGGCATGAGGACCACAAACGTATATAGGAGTGCATTCATTACAGATTCACTGAACTTTAGAATTGATATTTTAGGCTGATCTGATTTCCTTTGCCTGGAAGAAGCCAGTACCATTTCCTCAGAGTTCTACTAGAAATGCCTCTTTCATTTAGTCTATAACCACCTTCATGGGTGCCTCATATTAGTGCCAGGCATCCTGCAACAGATGTACCCACTCAAGTCTTTTCTCAGCTCCAATCTTCTTAGAAGTTCCCATGACAGCAAAACTACCTTGTCTTAGTTCCCAGGAACACAAACGTTGCTCTGTCCCAGTGCAGACTTTGAGCAGCCCAATTCACCTGGTACATTCTGCATCACTTTTATATTGATGCTTCTTCCCAGCTTCAACTCTGTAGCACATTTCACTGGTCCACTCCTACTTCTTATTTTTATACTTGAACTGGTTCTGGCTGGGATAGAGTTAATTTTCTTGACAGGAGCTCATAGGGTGGGGTGTTTCGATTTGTGACCAAAACAGTGTTGATAACACACCCACGTTTTGGCTAATGCTGAGCAGAGCTTACACAGCATCGGGGCCTTCTGTTTCTCACACTGGCCGTGCAGCAAGGAGGCTGGGGGTGCACAGAGACTGGCAGGGGAAACAGCCGGGACAGCTGACCCCAACTGACCAAAGGGATATCCCAGACCATATGACACCGTGCTCAGCAACAAAAGCTGGGGAAAAAAAGTAGGGAGTGGCGGGGATGGGGACATTCAGAGTTAAGGCATTTCTCTTCCAAAGTAACTGTTACACATGATGGAGCCCTGCTTTCCTGGAGATGGCTGAGCACCCGCCTGCTAATGGGAAGTGGGGAATGAATTTCTTATACTCTTTTGCTTGTGCACACAGCTTTTCCTTCTCTGTTAAACTTTGTCTTAACCCACACAATTTCTCATTTTTACCCTTCTGATTCTCTCCCCGACCCCACTGAGAGGGAGTGAGTGAGTGGCTGGGTAGAGCTGAGCTGCTGGCCAGGGTTAATCCACAACAATGCTTTAAAGAACTTCCCATACAGCAGTATTATCAAGTGTTTTAGTACTGTACAGCCCAATGAGATTTAACTCAATTTACAAGGAAAATAATACATTTTTCTATATAAAGGAGAATGTTGTTTGGTATGAGAGATATGGAGCTGCTGGAAAGAGTCCAGGGAAGGGCCGCTATGATGATGAAGGGATTGAAGCATCTCTCTTATGAGGACAGGCTCAGAGAGCTGGGACCATTTAGCCTAGAGAAGAGAAGGCTCAGGGAGGATCTCATCAATGTATATAAATACCTGAAGGGAGGGTGCAAAGAAAACAGCCACAGGCTCATTTCAGTGATGCCCATTGACAGGATCAGAGGCGATGGGCACAAACTGAAACACAGGAGGTTCCCTCTGAACATCAGGAATCATTTTACTGTGGGGGTGACCAAGCACCGGCACAGGTTGCCCAGGGTGGCTGTGGAGTCTCCACCCCTGGAGATATTCAAAAGCCATCTGGACATGGTTCTGGGCAACCTGCTCTAGGTGACTTTACTTGACCATGGGAGTTGGACCAGATGACTTCCAGAGGTCCCTGCTAACCTTCACCATTCTGTGATTCTGTGACCTACTTTTGGTAAATTCAAGTTGTACTTCATCTCATTTTTGTCTTTTATCCTACTTTTTAACCTATCTCCTTAGCACCAGTTGTGTGGTTTGTTTTTTTGTCCTTCGTAAAACTTCACATATCATAAATGCAGATGAAGGACTGTACTGTTGCCTGGACTACTTTTTTAGGCTTCTAGATAGGAGGTAACACTCTTATCTAATGTACCATGCTGTGAGACAGCAACTTTGCAATTCCGCAACTTTGCAATTCCAGTTCTTGCAGAACTCAAGTGTATGCGTATTAAATTAGAAGAGTAAAAAGATTAATTTTATCTTCACTGAGTATTCCCAAGGGAGTTATACTACAGTAGACAGTGGGTCATTCATATTTCCTCCACTATTCTTGGTTGATCATTACTCTACAATGTTCTTCTAACAGGCATACCTGCACTGGTACAACAGCAGACATATGTTCAAGTCCCACTAGTCTACTGTTGCTTTCACTTTAAAAGCAACCCCTGCCCCTCACCTCCCATACCTGAAACACAGGTCACAGGATCTCAGAGTGGGACCAGAGTACTGTGCTGCAAGCAGGTGATACATGTCTTCTGGCAGAGCCCAATAATTACAGGAACCATTCAGAAAGTACCTTTTTTCCTTAGTCAGAGCCTCCTACAACTATGTTGTACCCCAGTATGGGGCACTCTCTAACCAAATGCCTGACACCTCATATGCTGAATTAAGTGAATTTGAATGATCCACTTACATCCTTATACTCCTAAAACAACTTAATGGTCTTAATTCTCTGAGGAAGAAATTTCTTTTTGGAAAATGGTGGCATGCATTTTACACTCCAGCAGTGTACCAGCCTCTTCCATGACTAGTATCCTCCTGGTGATAAGTATTAACCGATACATACTCATTTGTCCAATTAAAAGAAAGATAAACTGCTTTAGTTTTTATACTGCCAAACCTGAGAGAGTCTTTTTGTTGTTTGCGCTGCACTGCTGTTTTCTTTTGAAATTTTATAGACTTCAAAATCAGATGCTATTCCTACTTTTTTCAGTGCACAAAAACCCTGGAAAGTGCCCACACATAGAGAATGCAGCTCCCAGATCCTTTACTAACCTCTCCATCTTTCAAGCACTGCAGTCCTCACTTCTAATCAAAGAAAACAGAAAGACTTGACTCAGTTTAGTTTCTAAAGCATTTAGCAGTGGCAAGGCTTACAGAGAGCAGCACAGGGCCACACAAGGACGAGTACATTCAACACTGAAATATAGTAACTCCCACCTATCTGCAGAACATTTTTAGTTTCTAAAGAATCACCAGCCTTTACTTGCATCCTAACTTTGGAACACTGTTACAGAAACACGAACATTATTGTTAGGTCCATCTGAGGACAGATGCTTTTTCTGTAGTATTTTTCAAAAGAAAAGCCTGGATTTCCTTGACACCCACTGCCTACTAACACACCCCCGCTCTAAAGCCATACCTGCATCCCTGCTAGAGCTTGTTGGGCCAGCTTCATGCTCTTTGATTCCAGAGCCAGTTGGAGAGGAAGGAGACACTTCTCTCTGAGGAAAAGTAAAAAAATAAAAGTGAGAGGTAACAATGGATCTAAAATTGATATTCCAGAAGGGCTGCTTCACTTTCAGTAAGATAACACTTGCATACAGTAATCAAGGAGAATTTCACAACTCTGTGAACCACTTCTGCCCTCTAAAGAAAGCTGGCATATTTATTCACATACTGTAAGAATGGCCTTTTAATTGAAATTTCACAAAATACTTCCCAACTGTTAGCCCTCTGTGTGCATGCATGAATGTGCAAAACATAAAGAAGGGATTCACAGACCACTAGTGGTCCCTCAGCTCAGCATGATAAGCATTACACTTCAGTCACTTACCTTCTGTTTAATAGTCAAGTTGCCAGAAAAGTGGTTTCATAATTCATTTTCTATTAGTCAAGTTTTGGTCTATGGCCTCCTCTACAGTACAGTGTGTGCCCTGTCATGTTAGCTCCCTCCAACTATATATGGTACAGACAAAAGCAAAAGTACACTAACAAGTTTGGTTTACACCTGAATTAGCATGTACTAGAACTATGACCAAGATGTACTTTGACTACAGAATAACACAATTTTTGAACAAAAATAAATCATTGATTAGGATGTTGTTTTAGATGCTTTTGACTCAGTGCTCAGATACTGATTTTTTTTTATTTGATGACCAAAACAAACAGTGCCTAGAGCTGTGACACCTCTCTCTACTACTTGCTCCTTATCAGAGAAGGGCTACAGCATCTGACGAACACCTAGTAACCACAAGCCCTTTAAGAAAATCTTGCTAGCTGGCAGAAAGCTCATTCCTGATAAGAGATACTCAGCCCATGTCCAACTGCAGGCTCCCTGAAGGTTTGCAAAGCTTCATTAGGTCACATATCATAAGAGGCACTTATCTGTATATACAGTCTATTTTTGCAACTGTAAAGACATACTTGCTTATGGCAAACCATTCTGTGCCAGCTCTTAAGTCTTAGTTTTCCAACTGTCTGCACTGCACCCCAAGGAGCCCTTTTGGATTTGCATTAATTTCCTCCCCATGGAGACAAATAAAAGCATGTAAGGTAAGAAGAAACAGAAAACAATTAGTTGAGTCCTTTCCTACCCAACTGGAAACCAAAAAGCCCTGACTTGTTCCATTTGAAGCATTCTTCTTTGACAAGTCTTAATGCATTCTAACACACACCCAAAATACCTGTCTTTTCAAAGCAGTCAAAGATGTTTAATTTCTAAAAATACCAAAATTAAAGGTTTTCCCTCTTTTGCTCCTGTGAGCTGCCTTTGATCTGAATTCACTTACTTTCAGTTGACCCAATGATGAATAGTTTATTTGCCCAAAAGTAGATAAAAGTATTGACTAACCCTCCTACAACTCTAAAAGTTCAAGTTCTGACATGAATGAAACATGTGCAGTAGACTACTGGGCATATTCTGCTTCTCTCGCAAATCTTCCCTTCACAACTAGCTAAGGAGAAGCCCTAACTCAGAGCAGCAGTGATTACCAGAGTTTCAGACATATTGTCAAAGGTACCAAAAGTCATGCTTTGCCACAGTCTGCCCATAACCTACCAACCTCCCCCCAAAACTGACAGTCTAAAACTTGAACTTACTTTTTAAAAAACTTAAATGGAGATTACCAAACACTGGCTGTCTCAGCTTCGGGGAACCTAGCTTGTAATTCCTTCAGTGCATCCTGCTTGCAGAGAGAACTGAATGTTCACTCTGAATAGTCAACTCTATTTTGGGTGTGTTCAGCTGGTATTCCTTTCTCTAAATCTTTCCCAAAAAACGCACAAATCACAAGTTATTCCAAGGGGCACAAATGCACTACTTGATTATGAAATGCAACCCTTTCCTTTAATGATAAAGACTTAAGAGTTACAAGCATGGCTCAGTTAAGTAACCTAGCAAGCTTCTGTACTTGGCAAACACCTCTTTAGAATCTGCAGATCTTTTCATATTTGTACTTCTTCCCAGGTTACGGGAATTTGTAAAACGCCATTTAGCATAACACCACAAGAAGATTTTTAAAAGAAACATGAATTACACAGATTTCTAAAGAACTTTTAGCAGATTACACGTGTATCTTAAAATAGATTTCTAACTAGGAGCTAACCATTTGCTTCATTTAGGATATTCTGAGAAATGGGCAGGCGCAAAGCCCAGTTTTCTCAGAAGCTCCTTTCTTGGATGTTTCTGGAATCAGCTTAACTAGAAGGACTCTTAAAACCTGTGAGTTTAGCATCCAAAACAGCTTGAACTACAGAACGTCTAGGAAATATTTCCTCATAGAGCATCATATCATCCAGATCAACACAAACTGCCAAAACATCTATTCCAGGGTTCAGACAGTAATCCTCTAGCCAGTACAGAGCTGGTTACTGCCTATGTATCTACCGCCAGCTTTGCCTGGACCTGGGAACGTATGTAGCATGCAGGTAATTGTGATAGGGCTTTCTAATTTAGATAGGTGCCACAGCAATACATCCCTATCCCACAAAGCACCTTTAAGTGCTAACTTTCACATTGTGACCTCAACATACTCTGTCTTTTAAAAAAAGTTGTTACTATCACCCTCTGGGGGAGAACTCACATTTGAAATGTAAATCAACAGGTGCCAAAACAAGGTGCCTGTGCATTAACTGGTACTCAATCAGCCAGACACATGCAGGAAAAAAGAAGAAGAAAAAAAAAAAAAATCACAATAGTGTATAGTACTAACTGCAGGGATGCTAAAAACTGATTATTATTTAGACCTGCACCTCTTCAGGGCAGAACATCACATTCTTTTAGACTTTCTACAGTTCACTGCAACAGCATATAAAAATTTGGGTCATTATTAATATACAATAACATTATTCTCACATTAAAGTGGATGGACACTGGGAGGCAAGGGGAAAGGGAAGGCAGTCATAAGTCACTGGAGTGGATCCAGTTCAGTTTCATTATAATGAAGACAGGTGGGAGCTCCTATGGCTTATGTGTAGCTACTCCGCACATCAGCATGTTGCCTACCATCTGTCATCACATACTGCAATGAGCAGAGAACAACGAGAGCTGTTTCTTGAGATATCTCCCAAAATGAATAGGAAAAAATGACAAACAGGAGGATGGAAATTAGAACAGATTCAATTAGCTGAACTTCCCATCCTTGCTAAAAATGTTTAACCGAAAATCTAATTAAGGTTGCTGGAGCCTGTGTTCCCACTGTATTCTCAGAGAAAATGAATTACCATTGTGCCATTTCCTGTTCTTGTTACACACTTGGTCAATTAAATCTTTAGCATTTCCATGCTACAATTATAAAACACTTGCAGAAATACCTCACAATGTTTGATTGGCTTCAACATCTTCCGTACTTCAGTTCAACCTGCCAATTAAGTGAATCATCTGCTAGTATGAGAACACAGAAGGACATGGCAAATAATCCTCAGGCAGAATGGGGGAGGTTGATGTAAATTAACACAGTTGATCCCTACTAAGGTCTACCACTTAAGAACTGCATTCAGTAAGGCTGCACAAGAGATAATGCAGACCAGAATTTGGTCTCAGAGTGCAATGAATAAAGGGATTGAGATTTTCTCTTATACTTTACAGCCCTTTTATAATTCCATCATGTTTTAAGTGGTCCCACACCATGGGATCTCATTGCTTACTCCACTGTCTGCAGTTCTATAGTGTCAAACGACAATTCATTCAGGTTTTGTAGTGCTACACATGTAAGACATTTTATATACGTGAAGTTCTCAGAGTAAGCTGGTGCACATCAATGTACTTCAAAACATGCTTGCTTTCCATTTATGTTACTATACAGAAACTAGTTGTACATTGGAACTCTAAGTTTCCATACTGATGCATGCAGGTGTGGACATATATACACACAGTTTTAGGCACAAATACTAACTTAACATCCCAAGTGAGCCAAGTTAAGTACAACACAGACAGGGCATGGAAGGAAGAAAGCTCCTTTGATTTGGAGGAGGGGAAGCTACCAAAAGCTTCAGGATAAGGTATCCTGGGCATTGACAGATGAAACAAAGCAATGAAAGCAGAAGCTAGAGGGAAGAAGGAAGTTGAGACAGTGTAAAGAAGGAATGATAGTGAAGAAAAAGGATGTGCTCAGATGTAAGTGGTATACTATGATGGAATCCACGCTAATTGCATTGTTTGCATATGTCCACACAGCAGTGCTCTCAAAAACAAAACAAAACAAAACATCACTCCACTCTACCCATCCCTCCCCACCAAAAACAGAAGGGAAATTAAAAAAAAAAAAAAAAGAAAAAAAAATAAGAGAGGCAGCAATAACAGATTCTGGCTTTAGTGCTCTTTCCCTGACAAAGGAAGAGAAGACAGGGATCACTATTTATCTGCTGCTGTTGTCTAAGGTCACCTGTACAAAAGATATGGTGAGAGCCACTGCAAAACAAGGGTCTAGAAGAATGATTTTATAGGACAGACGAAACAGCTTTTCTAATCATGGTGATTCTATTCAAATCTGGTATAGCACATAGATACTGAACAAATGAGTGTCAGATGATGGCAACCCCCTCCATTCAAAACAAAGAGTGTCAAGCACCTGCCTGTACTGACCCAGAAAACCAATAAAAAAAGTTTAGAATTTAAATGTATATTCTAAGATTACTATAAACCAGCAGCCATTCGCACTAACGGGCACTCCATTCAAAAAAACAGCATTTGGTAAGTGTGGACCTTGCTATGTGCAAAACAGAGTATGCAGAGAACACCAAGGACAAAGACTCAGTCTTGTTCCTGCTAAGACTGCCTGGAGTTTTGTCACTAGACCTCCATGGTATCCGGACTGAATCCCAAGTGACCTGCCCTGGGTCAAGCAGAAAGGTCAGAGACAGAACCAAGTGTGTAAGCTGGGACCAGTATCTCGAGGAGCACAGCACAGTTCAGTCAAGTAACAGACAAGCATTCGATTCATGGCTGTTGCCATTTTCTGAGATGCTGTTTGTGAGGCAGGATAACAGTCATAGCCAGAGTCTG